GCATGGAATGCTTGTGAATGAATCCAGAATCTAAGGAAAGCGAAATTTCTCTAGCTGTAGCATCAACAGGCATAGAAAAAGCTCTGTTTAAAGCGCATTAACACACAAAAAAAGAGGCATTAACCGAAACCAGGGAATATTATCGCTACATTTTCAACAAATTTCTCGGCTAATTTTAATCAAAAATTGGATCAGTCCCACCTTACAGTGCAATTTTTCAGTACTTTGGAGCCAATTTTCGGCTAAATTTCGCGAAATTTTGAGCTGAATTCAGACTTTTCCTTCAAAAAATTCTTGTGCCTTTCATCTTATCCTGCGGTTTTGGCGCTTCGACAAAGCAATGAGGAAAAAAAAATGTCACCTTTCTTTCCTCTACCGATCTCCTAGTAATTTATACCAACAAAACTTGGATTATCGTCATCCGCAGCGGAGTTTTTGAGAAAAACAAACCAGTTCAAACAAACTAAACGGACCAGTATAACCCCAAAATGAAGGGAAAAACGAATTATACTGAAGAAATTTGTAAAAAACAACGACTGTCATTGCCTGATAAGACGAAAAATCGGAAAATTCGGGTGCTAAACAAAAAATTTGGTACCTTTTCTAGCTCTCCATAACATTTCTGGGACTGGTTGTCTGCTTTCGTCACCGTCCCAGCATTGTTCAAGCATCCACTTAATTTGTCCGATAACTTGTTTCGCTCTTGCTTGCGCACGAGCGTTCAAAATCTCATGGCTGCAAAGTTTAATTTCATTTCTTCTGTTTTACATCTCTTTTAGTTTAATTAATTCATACGCCTTACTAAATTATTTTGTTACCACAATCGTCGTACTGACCAGGTCCAACAGTGATAACGGTAAGAAATGTATATGACTTAATGGACCGAAACATTTCTTACCAATTACAAATATTTCCTCAGACCCCTTTCCCATCTTACAGCCTTTCTCCTCATTTTCCTTTTTCTTGATATTTTCTCTTAACCTTTAATTTCAAAACACTAGCACAAATAAATGTTAAGCATAGAAGAGCTCAACGTAAACGTTTAAAACAAGAGGAATGGTAAAACGAAGTGTTCACGATGATCAGATGGATGTCAAATGGAAGGTGTAGCTCAGAAAGCCACAGGCACTTACTCCCTTTTTCCATTAAATCGCATACATTTCTTACCATTACCACAATTGGGCCTCGTCAGTACGACGACTGTGGTAAGTAGAGTTAGCAGATATTAAAATTAAATTGTCTAATGAATGTTAATAGTAAGAAGTGCTGCGAAAGAACAGTAGTAATAATAATAATGATTGTTAAATTGATTAATATGTTGAAAAAATCGCCTGTTGGGACAAGTCCAAAAGGGAGTAAAGTGGGAAAATTCACCAAACGCTATATTGATACACAGGAACACAGAAATCCGTTTTTTAAGTGATAAAAACACACAAAAAAAGACAGACTAGTGATCATAGGGCGGATCCAGGACGGAATCCTGGAGAGATGTCAAGAGGTGAGGC